GGGCATTTCGCGATGGGTTGAATTCTGCTATTATAATCCAGCCAAATTGCATTATGGGGACCAAACCTTAAAGTTGTCTCAAGGGGTGTGATAAGTCGTGTTTTGTGTATATTATTTAGCTTGTTTTTAGTTGGTTTTATTCGCTTAGTAGAGTGTTTTAGTCCATTTTGGTGTAATTTGGTTTAGTTTCGATGATTCGATGCTTTTATGGGTAGTTTCGTTGTTTTTGATGTATTTCAGGATTAACGGAGTAATTGAGTGGAAATGAAGCAAAACGTTGATGAAATACTTGACAAATATGACACCTGTTCACTATTATGCTCATAACTTTTGATATACAAATGATTATGGAGTTATTAAAATTGCATTGGAAATTAGACTTGAAGACCTTTCTAACGATATATTACATGCCTCAAACGAAGCTCTGGATATGAAGTTATGACTGATTTAGTATGAGTGATACGCGCAGCAGAGAAGGCACGTCCGTGCCCAGCATCAGGCACATCCGTGCCTGGAAGACAGACTCTGCAACGTTTTTACTTCTAGAGAGGCACGTCCGTGCCTATGGAGAGGCACGTCCGTGCCTCCTGGTAGGGGTGTACAAAAACTGGACCGGACCTGAAACCGGACCTGAACCGACCTGATCCGGACCGGACCTGACCCGGACCTGTTGATTCAGGTCCGGTCCCGGTCCTTGAAAATCAAGGTTCCCGGTTCCGGTCCGGACCCGGTCTAAAACCGGGGGTTTCAGGTCCGGACCTGAAACCCGGTTTTTTTTTTTTTAAAAAAAAAAAAAACAAACACAAAAACTCAAAAAATCAGAAACGCTGCTCAGTGCTCTACTTCAATTTTTATTTTATTTTCTAACCCTAACTCGTTGCTCACCCTGCTCTGCCTCTACGTTGCGCCTCCTCCCTCATTCTCACTCTCTCCTCGCCTCTGCCTCTGCACTGCGACATCTCCCTTGCTTCCTCACTCTCAGGCGACGCCCACCCAAGGCTTGCTACATCCGCCACCGCAAATCTCCGGTAAGTTTTTTTTGCATATTTAATTATTCTTTATTCTTTTGTTCTTGTTTGAAATTCCGAATTATGGTGTATTGGTGTTCATGTTCAGTGTTCTTGTTTAATTTATATACATAATTCGAATTTATATATGTTTAATTTTATTTATATACATAATTCGAATTTATATATGTTTAATTCGTATAAGATATACATAATTCGAATTTATATATGTTTAATTCGAATAAGATATACATAATTCGAATTTATATATGTTTAATTTTTGGAAGTATGCTTAAATTTATATATGTTTAATTTAATTTATGTGGGTCGAATTTTTGTTCATTTTGGCCGAATTTTATTTATGTTCAGAATATATATTCGAATTTATATATGTATTCGAATTTATATATGTTTAATTTTATTTATGTGGGTAAGCTCTTATGTTTAATTTTATTTATATATGTTTAATTTTGGCTGTTAAGCAGGTTTGATTATTAGGGTTTATTGTTTTTGAATTTATGAACTTGAATTTGTGTTGGGGGTAATTGTGGAAGTTTGATTTTGTGAATTGGGTTTTAATTTGCAGGTTTCGATTGCTTCTGGTGGTGCTTCTAGAGAGAAAACTCAGGTTAGGGAATCAATTCAGGGTTTTGTGATGAATTTGAAATTAGGGATTGGTTTGTCTTGATCTATTAATTTTAGTTGAATTTGAAATGGAATTATTCAATTGAGACTTGTTTGAGCATGCAATTCACAATTTTTCCTGTCTTGGATGGTTAATTGTGTGAATTTGCCGTGTTTTTGGATCATTAATTTTGATTTATTAGTTTGATTCTTATTGTTACCTGCTTTAAAGATACAAGATTATCTACATTCTGCTCCTATAAGTTGATTGTTTGATTTATTTTTGTTTCGAAATGAGAGTAGGCTCACATAAGGGAGCTGGAAGAGGAAGTGAAGCTGCTTAGGAATCTATCACACACAAATATAGTTGCAAGTATTTTATCTTTTCATGTACCAAAATACGATCCGATATTGCTGGATTCTGAGCTTAATTTCCATGCTAGAGATATTTGGGGACTGCAAGAGAGGAGGAGGCTTTAAATATCTTATTGGAATTGGTTCCGGGTGGATCCATTTCCTCACTTCTTGGCAAGTTTGGATCATTTCCGGGTGAATCTTAAGAGACTTTATGTAATGTTATGAGTTTTCGTGGACTCATTTGTATTTTCGGTGGACTCATTTGTATTTTTGGTGTTTGGAAATTGGAACTTTAGAGACGTTATGTAGTTTTGTGATTGATAATTTTGGTTTGTATGTAATTATTAAATTATGCAACAGGTCTAAAAATCACAAAACAAGTCCATATGCAGGTCCAACAGGTTATTTATAAAAAAAAAATGAAAAAACCACAAAATAGGTCCATTCAGGTCCAAACCCGGACCAGACCTGATGTTTCAGGTCTGACCCGGAACCGGACCTGTTAAATCAGGTCCGGTCCCCGGTCCTCAAATTTACCCAATTCAGGTCCCCGGTCCAAACAGGTCCGGTCCAGGTCCGGTCCGGTTTTGGACCGGTGTACACCCCTACCTCCTGGGATTCTTGTGCGCCAAGGCTTGGTCGATTTTCTTATCTTTTTGGGCTTGTATATATATATATTTTAGCCTTGTTTTTCTTTTTATCTTTTATTCATTAAGTTTATATTATTTTTCAATTCCTATTATTAAGAACTAGTTCTCTCTATTTTATTTTTTTTCTTTACTTTTGTAATTCAAGATTCAAGATTTACACTTTCCGCCTTCAATTCAATTCAAGATTCGGTATTTTCTTTTAATCTCTTGTTTCTTAATTATGTTTTCTTCAATTATTATTGTTATTTTTTATTTAATCATGTGTGAGTAGATTCTTTAATTCAAGATCTAGTGTAGCCCTATTATTATTGATGCATGAATTAAATCTTTAAATTCTTTAACAACTTTAACAATTGAATTGCTAAATTGATTGTGATTATGCCAATGCTAGGTTAGACGTAACTATAGTATTGCGATTATTCCATTGTTTTTATCACAGCGAGAGTTGGGTATAAACGGATTTGAGTAAATTAATTTAGGGTTTGATTCATAACACAAGAGTAGTTATGTTTGATAATTGGGAAGTGAGAGTAACGTGTTTAATGTCTTTAATATGCATGATACCATGAGAATAAGATTGATTGTATGTTAGGGAAGCCATTGATACTCGAGAGAGATCCTTGGTAATTATTAGGGTTTACTTTTCCCCGTTCGATTGAAATTGTATGTTAAGGGTAGAATTACAATTGCATCGATAATAATTGTGGTGAAACTAGATCTTGGATGTTTTAAGTACTTGATTTAATCATCTTATTTAGCTTATTTTCGAATTCTTCTCATACTTAGTTCCGTAGATAATTGATTATAATTGATTCTTGCTTAGTAGAAATTCGAGTCTATTTAATTATTTTTGAACCTTAGTCTCTTGAGATCCGACCCTTACTTGCCAGTCTACATTAGTATTGGTCTGTTAGGTTATTTTTGATAGGTACGCGACACGCCTACCAGGGTGCAACAGGGTGATCCCCTTGGTCCTCTGCTTTTTGCTTTGGTTTTACAACCACTAAGCGAAAATTACAAATGGGCACCGGTTCAAAACCCCCATTTCGCACCGCTTTTGAACCGGTCTTTATCTGAGGGATGCCAAAAATCAAAAGATTTTGCACCAGTTCTTGCTGTGAACCGGTGCGAAAAAATGGCCCAAAAAAAAAAAAAAAAAAACTTTTAGTACCGGTTCTTGCTGTGAACCGGTGCGAAAAATGACCCAAAAAATTATAAAAAAACTTTTAGTACCGGTTCTAGTTCAAAACCGGTGCCAAAAATACCCCAAAAAAATAATTTTAATTTTTTTTTGCATTTTTTTCACTTAAACTGATATAGAAACACTAACATATATATAAAGTTACATATTTTCTTTAAAAAAGGCTGTGATATTACAATTTCGTCCAAAAAAATATATAAAATAAAATACAAGGTCACACACAAATCTGTTTCTAAACTTGGTTCTGATTGGTGATGATCTTTGTTAGAGGAGTAAGCTTGGCATGATCAGGCCGGAAAGACTCTTTAATCAAGAAAAGATGACTTGCAAGAGGGAAAATAATCCAAAGAGGCAAGTATAGGCAATATGACAACCCCAGGACTGCAGATGACCAATAGGCAACAAGTATGACTACCATTGAACAACAAAACAAGCAAAACAGAATTGAATTAGAAAGCATAAATTATATCAATGTAATCAGGATACATAAGAAAAAAAAAAAAAAACGCAAAATGCTGATTATCAAGAAACACCCTGCTCAAAGACTATTCATCATTGAATGGAGCAAACTTCTAAGATGCATTTCTTGGAGCATGCATCTCTCAATTAGAAGATATCCTAAATCCCCTTATGCCTCTATTACTTCCAACTTTCAGCTTCTTTATTAAAAGTCAATCAGACAAGCAAAAATAATGAATTCCAGCTTCTTCACTAAAGTCAATCAGACAAGCAAAAATAATGAATTCCGGCTTCTTCACTAAAATCAATCAGACAAGCAAAAATAATAAATTTCCTAACACAACTCACCACAAGCAGAAGTTTTCACTGCCCAAAACATTGATATATGCTTTTGGGTTGCCAGTGTGCCGTCAACACACTAAAGAGTTACTGATATGTAAAGCTTGTATAAAACCCTCACAGCCATGCAATCTTAGTTTGCATGGTGATAAGATGGGCTAAAAATTATTAAATTACTTTAGGAATATTATCATTTCACTTCCATTTTTGGAGTTATTGTATATTTAATTTTCTTGTAAAGCCTATAAATTCTAGTGTTTATTTTTTTTATTTTTTTTGATTTTAAATAACAATAAATTCCCGTATTCAATTTGTATTATTTTGATTGGACCAATATATAATTAATTATTAAGTTATTCCCTTGATTCCAGGAAAGAGCATGGAGTAACATTCATCATTGCATAAAAATAGGTTTCTTTAAATGATTTTTTTTTCTCTTTTTTTTTTTGTTGGAAAGGGGAGAAATCATAATTTACCATTTATTATTTCATGAAAATGGTTTATAAAACGTTGTTCTGTTTATTTATTATTATTTTTGTTTTTGTGGGTAAAATAGATGTATAGAGAAGTTTGAAACAAATTTCAATTAATTGTTTTAAGAAAAAAAATCTAACACGACAATGAAAAATAACTTATATCGATTATTGCCCATTCTCACTCAGACCCTACGTAAAATCGCCAATATCTTTTTAGCACACCTATAAACCTAGACTTATTATTTTTATTTTCTATAGTTAACACTTTTAATCCTAATAAAAAAAGGGACTCACTAATCCCTCAACCAAAAACTTTGTTGTCACAATTAATAGCCCATTATCATCATCATTACTATAAAAAATAAATAAAAAATGAAAAAATATTCCCACGTTTTTCAGTTAGTCTAAAAGTTGATTGATTGGCCTATAAAAAACCAAGCAGCCAATAACAATTCAAATGACCCTAGTATGTGCTTATGTGGGACCCACCCTCTTTCCAATTTCCATCTTATTACCAACATTCAAAAGTCACCCCACTCCAACCAATCTTGAATTGAGCACCCTTCTGTCTCTAAATGGCTAAACTCTAAAATATGCTAAACTCCATTGTTAGCTACTTCTCTTCCATCTCTCTTTCCGTCTTTTACCTCTTATTATACCATTAAATTTCTAATAATAACACCTTCATTTCCTTTATTTTTCTATTGATTTTTTTTTTTTTTTTTTTTAATTTTTTGAAAAAAATGGGAAGTGGGCAATCTGGGCTGAGGTCCACTGTACCAAGGAGAATTGGGCTGGGTGATATGCCGGAAAGTTGTGTGGCGGTGATATTGGGCCAGTTAAGCCCACCTGAGATTTGCAGGCTTTCGGAGGTCAATTGGGCTTTTTACGAAGCTTCATTATCGGATTATGTTTGGGAGACTAAGTTACCTTCGACTTATGAGTTTCTTGTTCGGAAACTGTTTGATGAAAGTCCTAAGAGATTTAGTAAGAGAGAGATTTTCTCTCGACTTTCTCGCTCTGTCAGATTTGATGCTGGAACTAAGGTAAACCATTAAATTACGAGTATTATTTTTCTTTTGTCGGGTTTTGGTAATAGTCGGACAGGTAGTGTAATTTGAACTAGTAATGCGATAAATGAATTCGGACGAGTTTTTGTGATTGAGTTGGATTGTGTGTGTGGGGCTGTGTGCAGGAGATATGGTTGGAGAAAAATAGTGGGAAGATGTGCATGGCGATTTCATGGAGAGGAATGACGATCACAGGAATAGATGATCGTAGATATTGGAGTCATATTTCGACTCATGAATCCAGGTCAGAATTTGATTTGATTTTGTTTTTGTTTAAATTTGTTCTATTTACGATTTCATGGAGTACTTATCATAATTAGCAATGTTTAATTGGTTCATTCCATTTTCATAAAGAAAGTTTCTAATTATGGACTTTGGATATTGATAATTTACTAAATTAATGTTTGATTACTCTGTTGCTATAATTAGTGTAATCAGTAATTTTCGAGTGTAGTGTGTATTGTGTAACATGAAAACAAAACCCTATCAATGTATGTATTGTTGTGAGGCAAGATTAATTAGTATAAGCCTTGTTGCACATTCACAACTGGTTTATCTACCGATCTCTTGTCTTGATCTAGAGCAAGCGCGAATTAGTGCTAGATAAATGCGCATCAGATGAAGCCAACGCCGGTGTGTGAGAGACACGCATCAGCGTGGGATTACCTTCCCTGTTGATTCCGGGGGCATCATCTCCGACACCGGTGATGTTGCAAGAAGGCAACCCTTTTAAAGTCACTTTCTTAGGATAGAAAGAATTACGAATTATACATTATTAGGTTAATGATATGATAATGTAAGGCAGATTTGGAGTCTTTTGGTTAATTTAAACAACAAATTAATTAATAGCTTAACTATTTGTGTGATATTTTTCTGTTTTCCAAATAAGTGTAGTTTTTCAAACTTTGAAAATAATGTTAGCTGTATTTACAAATATATAATCATAAAATAAATGTCCATAAATCTTTTCTTGTGAAGCAAAACAAGAGGCTTCTAGCTAAGCACATTTTGTATGAACTATGATGTTTGCGTGCACAAAAAGTTTTAAGGGTCGTATTCAAGATTTGAACTTTTTGGCTGGCTCTTATTGTGCAAGAAAAGATATTTCCTTAATTAATGGACAAAAATAATTTGTATGAAATCATAGTGGTTGTATGAACGGGAAACATGAAAGTAGTGACAGTTTTAAGTGCTGCTCGTAGCCAATGATAAGAATAAAAGGGATGCAAAAACAGAATTTTACCATCAATTATCAACAGATTAACAAAATGATATAGCGTGTAGTTTAATTTGATGCTTAGAGTTAAAAATTACCAAATTTACCGCTCTAATCCACTAATATAACTGTTTTTTTCCCTTTTGAAGCTGATTTAATTTGTGATCTCGTGCAGTGCACAAATAATTTGTAATATGAGACTTTATTTGTGAGTTCTGTAGGCATTATTATTACGTAGTATTATGAATTTAACAATTTTCATGTTTATATTGAGAGAATACATCAATCAAATTAATTTATGATTATATGAATACTATGTGATATAATTTGCAGCTTACATACTAGATCTGAAGCTCTAATTTTCTCGCTTAACTTAATCGTGTTTAAAAGTCAATGCCATCAAAATGAGTTACAATATCAACCTATATGAGATCACACATATATAGTACTCGTAAATTAGTAATATATATGATAGTAGATCAACTAAATTGGACTTTTCTTGGTTATTTAGCTTTGGAATCGGTCTGCTTCCTGATCTTGCAACCTTATTAGTTTAAGTATCAGGTCCCACAACTGCATTAACAAAGGAAGCATTGTAGTCATGTTGCAGGCATCTAATAATTGCTGATTATCTTTTGATTTTTTTTATTAATTAACGTGTTTAGCGATTTAACTGTCAATTTGATCACCAATACACGCTGTTCTTTGATCATTTGGCTGCCTTGTGTAGTTTTCTTCATGCATGTATACGTATTAGTTTGTGTTTTCTTCATCTTCTTACGCAATTAGATTCTTAAATATCTTAGACTTTACATAATTACATTGCTTGCAAGCTAAACTTAGGTGTTGACCCCTGTTCCTTCAATTAGTAAATTCTAACATCTGAAAAAAAAAAAAAAAAAAAAAGGACTTTGAGCTTGTTTGGTAGACAACCAATAACAGCAGTAACAGTATTAGATCCAATGGCGGCAATAGTATTAGTTTTGTATCTATGTTTACATTTCGTTTAATTCATGATAAAGAAAGTCCATCCCCAAACACGTGTTTCTCTTCATGTATAACGAATACCATCTAATATTGTTATCATCTGGTAGGATATGGGAGTAATAGCGGACAATCATTGCATATAGATGTAATGGTAAATTGCATTTAGTCTCTTTGAGTTTTTATCAAGGCTGGGGGTTACCCCTTACGTTACCCACCCTTGGAGGGGTGTCTTTAATGGCATTGGGGTTAATGTTGATTTTGATGCATAGATAGTTAGATATTACATATCTTCATGAGTGGCTTAGGATGGATTCTGAAAAAAAGGAAAAACTATAAACACTGATTGAGAATTAATTGTGTCGTGTGTAGATTCCAAGCGATTGCATACCTAAAGCAAGTTTGGTGGTTGGAGGTGGGAGGGGAACTGGAGTTCAATTTCCCTGCTGGTACATACAGCCTGTTTTTCAGACTTCAGTTAGGCAAACCCTCCAAAAGATTTGGTCGGCGAATTTGCAACACAGAGGGAGTGCATGGTTGGGACAGAAAGCCAGTTAGGTTTAAATTGTCAGCCTCGAATGGCCAGCATGCCGTCTCCCAGTGTTACTTAAAGCCAGCTGGGAACTGGCTTAACTACCATGCTGGGGATTTCACAGTTGAGAATCACCACACTCCTATGAAGATCAAGTTCTCCTTGGCTCAAATTGATTGTACACACACCAAAGGGGGGCTTTGCTTGGACTCTGTAGTTATATATCCCAGTGAATTAGCAGACCGTATGCAGCAGTCTCAGCTTTTATAGTTCACTCGTAGTCTAAGGCCGGAGGTTTTGTAGATAGTAGAAATCTGTTGGAAACTGGGAGTGATAGAACTATTCATTTGTTTGTTATGTCATATGTTATGCTATAGGTTTATAGCTTAATATTATTTTTTGCAGTATTACAGATGAATTAGTGATGTGGGCTTGCTGATGTAATGTAATACTATGTAAAATTCTATATTGAACATTCAAAAGAAAAGGGTTGAATGATTTGTTGTACATGAGCAGACCTGTAGTTTCCTCCCTTCAATTTCCTGGAACATAGATCAAAATAGAAAATATTGTCCAAGCTTCAGAATGTAAGATGAGCTACTACTCTTTAGAGATTACTGATGAAATGAATTTCAGCACTGTCATGCTGAGTTGATTTCTTTGAGTCTCTGACAACCTATCTTAATCAAGACAAGGTTAAGAGTGCTGGGTATGGTCTGTTAGAAATGCCGAAGCTCAACATTTTTGACATGGAGTCACTATCCTAACATTAGACACTAGTGCAGGATATCTGATTTAAAAGATGTAACATGTGCAGTTAGCGTTACAAACAATCAGACACATAGGAATGTTTTTCCTGCATTGGGATATGTTTGTGTTTTATGCTTCTGATGGTGTTCTTACCTCTTATCAGTGCAAAAGATGATTTTAGTAGAGTACTAGAGATTACTTACTATTTTTTTTTTTTAAATGTGAGCTTAGTCGCTTAGAGAATCAAATTAATCCAGTAACACCACCTGACATGAAATACAAGTAACCATTTACGAAGTACAAGTGAAAGATACAGTATAAAGTAGTACGGAGTAGTATCAAAACTCACAAGGCAAATACAAAAAACCCCTACAATTTTTTCTTCAATATCCACTGTATTTCCTCATAATGAGGTTTCCTGATAAATAGGATTGTCTAAATTGAATGTTTGTTTGATCTCTTCAAGGGACTTTCCTCTTATAATACCTGCCACCACCTTGTTTGTCAAATCCTCCAAGCTTTTGATTTTCAGATAATGCGCGGCCTAAGAGATGTTTTGATGAACTAGTTAGAATTCGATAACACTATAACAGGATACCTCATATTTATCACAACTCTTTACTGCAATTCTAAATAACTGCTGTTTTTGTCTTCTGATGTCAAAATTTGACAGTAATAATTTTACTTCAAATACAATGACATTTAATGAAAGTATTCCTATATACAAATCTGGCAACATGATTTACCATCAGAATTAGATCTCAAAAACACATACATACCAGAATGAGATCTAAGAAAGCAGCTTGATCAGCTCGGAAGAGATGAAGTGCCCATTCTATGAGAAGATCATCATTGTTTTCTACAGCAATCTGGTGATCAAGGCACTTGTTGAAGTAGTCAATGACCAATGACAATGTCTTACCATTTACCTCTGAAACCGAAACAACTTCAATCATGGATTTTATAGTCTCTGATTGCATTGCTGCTGCTTCTTCCACTTCAAAGGTCTTCCCATCTGAGCTCCTTAGTTTAATCTTTCTCTTATTGCTCATAGACGACGAAGACATGTTGTTGGGTGTCTAGGATGTTAAATGTTCAACATGATTTGCTAACTATGCATACATAAAAGATCAATTGGGAGACTTGGGCGAAGAACAATATATTGGTACATAAAATATCAATGGGACTTGGTAAAGCTAAAAGCTGTATACAGAATGTCAGTATGTATGATATTCTCCTAAAGATGAACATATTTTTTTCGGGGAAAGGTATAAGCCTTTTTTTGGTTATTGGTTGTCTGACCACTGAGTGTTTAATCTGGTTATAATAAATATTTTTTTTTTTAGAAATCCGTTATCGACTATTTGACTTAATTATGCAAAATAATTTTTAAGGACATTCGCACCTATTATACGAAGTATAATTATATACTACATACTCCGTATTAATTAAATAAATAAATTATCAAATTGTTACTATTGCTCCGTATATAGTAATTTAATACAGAATAGTTATCAACATTACATTAATAATACGTAGTACTACAAATAATAAATGCTGTAATTTGTATTACTAATCACCATAATTATTCCGTATGAATTAATGCAAGATAGCTACGGAGTTTTAATTACCAATCACTCTTATTAATTAAATTAATTATCGCACATATCATTGCAAAATTTTTTATAAAAAAAGCTAATTCGAGTATTTTCTTTTATTATTATAATCATTTATCTTCAACTCAGTTTTTCAAGCAATCAAAAATGATACTTATATTTATTAACCTTTTTTTTTTATTTAACTATTTGACCACATGAAGAAAAAAAGTCAAACCAAAAACCATCAAGATATAATTTTTTAAAAAGAATTTAGTAGTATCAAACAAGACCATAATTAATTAATTATAATTAGAAAATTCAACAATCAAATTAAAGTTTGGTAAAATAAAAAGGGAATTTGGAATCTATATGGGTTTAGCTCAATCCAAGATAGGAGAACAAATGTTTTCTTAGTTTGGGCTTTTATTTAGGAAGTGAACCCAACATCCCATCCATTCCTTATCTTGTCTCATTAGAAAATGATATCTCATTTGATATATGTAATGGATTGTAATCTATTGTGATTATACTAATATGTTTTAGAGTTTAAAGGTCTCTAAATCAAGCCTGGTCTTAAGCCCATATTAAAAATAGAATTAAAAACTAAAACATTATTAATTCTTTCCTAGGTAGATTTAATAAACTCATTGAGATTATTGAGTATCATATGAGATATCTCATTTATGACAGCCTCATATGAGATTTCATTAAATGTGACCTATATCCTTTGTGATTTATTACCAAAACTAGGTTATTTTTTCACATGTTTTAACAATGAAATCAAAAACTTTATCATGAGACAGTATCAAGTCAATTATGAAGAGATTTCTAATGGTTTAATTCATCAAATTATAACTGCTATAAGCTGTAATTTCTTTCCTTAAGCATGAAGGTAAATTATCACTCCTTTTGTCCTCAATTAATTGCTTAGGTAGTCTTTTTCACGCATATAAGGATGTAAATAGTGTTTAAAAAAAAATGGTTTTATAATCCATTTGTTTCATAATAATTGACACATTTGACTTTTATCATAACTTTGTCCATCATCTTTTTTGTTATACTTCGTATAAAGTAAAATGTTTATAAGTATGATGTTGAATTTATCTTAATGAATATTATTGAAATATAAGTTTTTATAATATTTATTAATACATAATTAAAAATATTGATAGTTAAAGTTACGATAAAAGTCAAAACATGTCAATTACTATAGAATGGAGAGAGTAGCAAATATTCCCTACATCTTTTTTAATTAAGTGCAACATTTCTCTTGGACATGTATGCCAATGCAAAACTTTGACCAATAATATCATTATTATCAATAAGCATAACATTAGTTTGACCTTAGCTATATTATGATTAACTATTAATAAAAAAAAATTTAAAAGTTGATATTATAAAACCTTATATTTTAAGGTTTTATAATATATTTTATGATAAAATTTGTTTTTAATACGTTGCTGATAAAGTATAGTAAGGTTGATATATAAACAGTGAAATAAAGTCTAATGTGTCAATTATTTATCAACGGAGGAATTAATAGACTAATATACAGACATTTATTGTAGGATAGAAAGAGTAACGTTTTTGAATATCTTTAACTCCCTCCACATTTTCCACCCTAACACCCCCCCCCCCAAAAAAAAATCCCTTCTCCTCCCTATAAAAAGAGTGTTATTTCTCTAGCCTATTACCACTCATCTTTCTCATCTAATTTTTCTCTAAAATTAATTAAGCTTCTTATTAAAACAATCTTTTCTTTTAATCAACTTAATCTAATGGCTTCACCAAGAAACACAAACAACAACACTCTTGAAGAAAATGAGCCACAAGATGTTGAAATGTTGTGTGACTCATCTTCTTCTTCTGATACTGATTATGATGTGCTTAGTGATGCTGATGTTATGCTTAGCGACTTGGAAGAGACAGAAAATAAGGATGGTACTATTAAGGTATAAATTAAACTTCTACTATGTTATTCAATAACTAGCAAAAATCATTAAAATTGTGTTATGTGCATTAATCTATTTTCTTGCATCCTTTATACAATGACACACTTCATTAAAAGTCATGCTTCTAACAAATTGTTTTTGATTTGTTAATACATCTTAATTTAATGACTAGAGAATTGAATGTTGATTAACAAATTTGCTTATGGTTTTTTATGACATCTTATCAACATTGATCTATAAATTGCCTCATTTTTGTGTTACACAATGTGTATTCAACTCCCTTTTTAAAAAAAATGCACCCTTTGACAATTTTGTATGGATTGCTAAAAAATGAGAAATTCACAATTAAGGGCCCTTGAGCCTTATTTGATATCATTGTAGTTTTCAAGTTTTTTTTTTTTTAATTTTGACAACTGTAGGGGCTTGCCCCTCGATTTCACCAAAAATAAATAATTTTGACAACTGTCAACGGAAAAAGAAAAACCATGTTCGGCATTACGACTGTGGTTATTGGTTTTTTGATTTTGAAAGTTATATGAAATATTTAACAAATCTAAAATTTGTCAAATTTATTAAATTCATTATTATTTTGAAAACTAATAAAAAAAAAGTCCAACTACTTTTTGTGGTTTTTTTTAGTTTTTTTTTTATAAGAAAAATAATTAAAAACAAAAAATAAAGACAAACAAGCCCTAATTTCTTATTTTTGTTATTAATATTTTTTAAAACAAATGAGTCCTAAATAATTGTGTGTGACACTTAAAGGAGTCAAAACCTAACCTAACCGACCCGATTCGAAATCAATCGAAAAAATATTCAATTAAGATTTCGACTCAATGGATACAATAATTTAGTGTGACTTAGGTTTGAAATTAGATCCAACTGACCTGACCCGACCCGACCACATGTCCTCACCAAACCAATCCTAAATACCCAAATTAACACCTCTACTAAGACTTACAACGTATATACCCTTGTCTACAAGAGTACCCAAAGTCGAGTCGCATAGTATTCGACCCTAAATAGTTGTTGTTTGGGTCCAATTTATTCTCAATTAGGTCTGGTACACAAATGATTCAATTCAAAGCCCAAAAGCAAGGTTCAACTCTCCAGCCCAATGTCAAGTCCGTCAAAAGTTCAATCCAAGTTGCAAGCCCACTTGGCTCCAAGGGCCCAAGCCCCATTATTGAGCAAAGGTATAAAAGCTAGCCTTTCATTTATTTTTACATCCATCCACAATCAGCCTCAAGCACCTAATCTTTTGCAT